GCCCCCCCCCCCCCCGACTCCCCCTGCCCCAGTCCTGGTCAGCTGAGTGTGGAAACAGAGGGATTTCTGCTGCTCTCATCGTCCATGGGCTTTCCAGGTATCTGCCTTTCATGGGAACCTCAACTTTCACCTTTAAATTGGTTGCCTCTATTCCACGTTCCAAGTAATCCCATTCCCAGTAACTTACACCCAGATTCCGTCTCTGTTAAGTGGGCTGCTGGGTTGGAGCTTGTGGAAATGGGAGAAGGGGTTTTTCATTTTCCCTCCTTTCCCTTTCCACCCACCAGGTCACACAACCTACAAGTAGGGAGCAGGAACAGAGAGAGAGCGCCTGCATGCCAATTCTAAGCTCTTCAGGATCAAAGTGAGCAAAAAGGAGGGCAAAAATCTCCCTTCCTTTTACAGAACTCAGTTCTCACCTGACGTGGGGGGAGGGGCGGCTTGTTTCTGTGATCTTGGGAGCAGTATAGGAGAACCAAGACTGACGCTCGGCTCGGGTGATAATAAAGATATAGAAGCTTTCTTGCTCTTCAGTGGGTGCTGGAGTTTGAAAGATAAGAGGAAACAGAACATGAACTTGGGGGAGGAGTTGGGGGGTTGACCTCTGAGTGAGTGGAGATAATATAAGGTTGGAAAGGAACGGGAAGTAGGAGGCACTGATATTTGTCAAATGGGGACCCCCCACCCTGAGTCCTTTTCACCCTGGGGGCAGTGTCGTTCGTCCTGTCCAGAATGGCAGCCTGTGGAGGCACCTGCAAGAACAAAGTGACTGTCTCCAAGCCTGTGTGGGACTTCCTCAGCAAGGAGACCCCCGCCCGGCTGGCCCGGCTTCGGGAGGAGCACCGTGTGTCCATTCTCATAGACGGCGAGACTTCTGACATCTATGTCCTCCAGCTTTCCCCTCAGGGCCCTCCCCCAGCCCCTCCCAATGGGCTCTACCTGGCCCGGAAGGCTCTCAAGGGGCTGCTCAAAGAGGCAGAGAAAGAGCTGAAGAAAGCTCAGAGGCAGGGGGAGCTTATGGGCTGCCTGGCTTTGGGGGGTGGGGGGGAGCACCCTGAGCTGCACCGCCCAGGCCCGCCCCCTCTCCGAGCAGCCCCACTCCTGCCCCCAGGGGCACGGGGGCTGCCCCCCCCTCCTCCTCCCCTGCCCCCTCCTCTTCCCCCCCGCCTTCGGGAGGAGGCAGAAGAGCAGGAGAGCACCTGCCCCATCTGTCTGGGGGAGATCCAGAATGCCAAGACATTAGAGAAGTGCCGGCACTCATTCTGCGAGGGCTGCATCACCCGGGCCCTGCAGGTGAAAAAGGCCTGCCCCATGTGTGGCCGCTTCTATGGGCAGCTGGTGGGCAACCAGCCCCAGAATGGGCGGATGCTGGTCTCTAAGGATGCCACACTCCTACTACCCAGCTATGAGAAGTATGGCACCATCGTCATCCAGTACGTCTTCCCGCCCGGTGTCCAGGGGGTAAGAAGCCTATGCCCTGCCCTTACCCTTTGGTTTTCGCCGCGCTTGTTCTCTGACCTAGGAACACTGGGTGAGGGGGAGTATGTTTGTTAGATGTGATACAGTCTTGCTGTCTCCCGGTATGCCTTCCCACTCAAGTGCCCTGGAGCTAGAGGCCCCCTTGAAGCCTAGCTTTTCCATCCCCATGACCCCAAGGCACCTGTGGAAATCAGGTATGAGAGAAAGGAATTGAATTTTATTTCTTTGATGAACTTGGATGTTGACATCTATTCTTGGCAGAGGTGAAGTCTGTGGACATGGTGGCTCAGGTGCGGACAGGCACGGTGGGAAGGGTCTGACCCCCCTTAACAGTGCTGGGAGCGTTACTCCATTCCAGATTTATGAGAGGGAAAAACCTTGATGACAGTGGAAGGTTAAAATAGGAGCGGTCAAGAACCTAAAGGTGTCTTCCTGCTTGACAAAGAGTAATGTCCAGTTCGGGTTTGCAGAGTGATAGGGAAGCTCTGAAGGAGAGTAATAGAAAAATAGAACAGGTTAGACAGTGCAAGATGCATTGGGAGTGTTTTCAGGTGGAGAAGGGAAGGCTGAAAGACAAATTATTCTCAGTCTTCACATTTCTGCTGAGTTATCTGGAGAGTAAGGCCCAGCTATTTTTGAGAATTCATTTGTTGCTGAATTGAGGCTTGAGGGATCGGGACAGCAGAAAGAACCTCTTAATGATGAGGATTTTGTCTGGAAACAGGCTTCTGCTGCCCAGAC